GTACATAATTATGATTATTGGGGCAGGTTAAGTAACTAGATGACATGACTGAGATGATTGCCTGTTCCCGGGCCGGGAGAAATATTTGTATGGCTTACGTTTATTTCTTTCATGATTTTATAATTTGTGGTTGTCTATGTGTGTGTCCATGGCACCCGCGATACAAGGTTTCCCTAGTACGAGGCTATAAGTGCATTATAAAAAAAAGATACATTCATACTCTCGGGATTCCAGATTCCACCCCCACGCCAAGTGCAATTCCCCCACCTGTGACGTGGTCATGCGGGCGCTGCACACTTGTCAACGAGTCGTCGGCTTCCGCGTGCGCCGCTTGCGCAGGCTCCAGGCCTCCCGCGCAGCAATGTAACTTCTGGTAAGGATCAAATGCTGCTACCAGTAAAAACGCATCTATCTTGTTACTATTAGGATACAAAATTGGATACGCTGAGTTTCATACATATTTCATACTCTACCATTACGCCTATCTCCCGTTGGGGTAGGTAAAAACAAGGAACCTCCACTCGTTACGCTCCTGAGAAACGCTGTTGAAACCAAAAATTAAATTCGATAATTTAGTGTGGTGAAACGCGCGATGGCATCGCTACACTTGCGATTATAGGCGATTGCATCGATACAAACACCTATAAATCCGCGCTATAAATGCAATCGCGCGTATGTATCGATGCAGTTGCGCGCTTGCATCGCGTTTGCATCGCTACTAAAAGTCGCCGTTTGTAAACGCTCTTAACCAAACCACTGACCATACATACTTATCGTTTTGCTGTTATCGTTCCTCCATTAGAGTAGGCAGAAACTACGGCCCTTTATGATACTGGCGCATAATTTTTCTTTCAACCGCATTAGCGCCCAGTTACACTAGGCGAAAGATTTCGCGCTTGTTGCCACGCCTTCGTGTACATTAATGGCGAATCGGAATTCTATTTACCAGGCAACACCATTTAAATTCCTTTGAATAATACAGCCGAGTAAACCAAATTCAAAACAGACTCGCCTGCGTCTCCGGGACGCTCATTTAAATTAAAACGTAAAAGCTAAACAAATAGAGCGTAAATGATTATCACTAGTAACAGGTTTCTTACCACGGTATAACTTCTTTTTATTTTCCCGATATTTCGTTATAACGTGGTAAGAAACCTGTTACTAGTGATAATCATTTAGTGAATAACCACGAAAGTCTTAAAATCTAAATAGAGCGTATTTTGCCATGAAATTCGTGTCGAATAAATGCTAGTGATATTAGTATATATCATTTTTCATACTAAAAAAAAAAAGAAAATTACCGGCCTATCTTTTAAAAGACTGCTTTCTTTTTTACCAATGTCTTATATTTACAATAAATAAATAAATAAGACATTTCAGGCACATAGGACTTGTCAACTTACGTCTCACGGGTGCAGTGGCAGTGCCCATCAGATTAAAAGCTCAGAGTGGCACTGCAACTGCCATGCAAAACTGTTCGTAAGCACCAGGCGCATGACTGTACCAGGTGTCGCGATTTATTGCAGGTCGTGCAGTTCCTGTACATTGCGCAACCCGCTGTCGGCGAATCTGTGTCTGGCGTGCAAGACGCCGCCGGTTCCGAAACACGGCGTGCCAGCCACAACCGCGAACGAACTTAACCACGCCCCTGTTCATCCTGGTAAGTGTTTGTTAAGTAGCATTTTCTTATAGTATTAATCATTCTCAAACATGCTCGAAAATGTTTGCATTACTTTCAAAAAAGGAACACGGAAAGTTTGTATGGCGTTCTGAGAAATACTGCCATCACCAAGCAGTAATGCTCATATTACTGTGTTCCGGTTTTTGAAGGGTGAGGGTGCTGGTGAAACCAGAGTTATATCGGCTGTGTACTAATCGGTACTGTTTCAATTTTGAAAACTTTCCAGGATGAAGAAAAAAAATTGTTTGCGTCATTTATATAGCATTTATGGGTTTATTAAATAAATATATAATAATAGGTTTATTGAATAAGAATACGTAGTTTTTAAATATTTTTATTACAAATGTATGTACACTACGTATTTTTATTTAATAAACCGGATGCTATATAAATGACGCAAACTTTTTTTTTCTTCACGTTTAAAGTTGTCAAAATGGAGATAGTACCGGTTGCCAGTTCACAGTCGATATAGGACTTTTCAAAAATCTCTCACTATAGTATAGCCAAATTCGATGTAGAATGTTTAATAACAAATCATTGCTAGGCAACCAATGATAGCATAGCAAAATAACCTTTTTTCAAAGGCTTGCTCTGCCCACGGCCTGCTCCCTTAATTGGAATTTAAATGCGTAGGTAGGTAATTGGGTTATGTAGAAGTAATACTTACCTAGCCAATTATTATAAAGTTAAAAAACACCTATTGATACGTATGATTTAGGACTAAAAATAGTGGTTGCATCCTATTAATATTGACTGCTAGATGGTAGGTAATGGTAGATGAAAAGATACAAAATTTTAAGATTTTATTTGATATTAATTTACTACATATTATATCATCCAGCATCTATTTTCGATTCTGAACTTGAATTACCACCAGAACTCGAATGTTTGCAATCTCTACATTCAAATGAAATAGTTACTAGGAATGCCACAGTTTTACAAATGTATATTACTGGTCATTTTTATATCATTTTTAAGTGATTTGAAACTTCTGTTAAATAATATTAATTATAAATATGGCTTCAAGATTTGGTAGTATACATAATCTAGCCGAATTTCGTAGGAAAATTTTGAAATTGTGGTAACTGTGAAAGAGTCTGAGATGAAAACCCTAAAAATCATATGTTTGTTTTTGTTGATATTTCGACACCTCCTACGTAAAGTATCGTATGTCGAAATTGCCAAGTTTACAGGGGAGCGTTTTAAAGTTCTCCGTTTTGTTTGGCAAAACCTCATTACTGACATAGAGTGATCATCTAACCGATATCTAGAATTTTACAATACTCTATCTGAGTAACAAGCTTTGCCGAATAAAACTGAGAAATGCTAAAGTCACGTGTTATGCTCATTACAGTGAATTGAGAACTTTAAAACGCTTCCCTGTAAATTTGGCAATTTCGACATACGATACTTTACGTAGGAGGGGTCGATTTATTCTACATCGAAGTTGGCTAGAGTATAGATGTCACTAGCTGCGACTAATGCCGAAACTCAGTACAGTTCCATAACAAAAACACAGGAGAATTTCGACAGCTCGGTAACTTGACCTGTAGATCAGTTGGTAAGAACAATGCTACGGTGCAGCATGGTCATGGGTTCAAGCCCACCGGCTCGAAGAAAATTTTTCTATGTGATCGATCATTGTATTAAGTAATCATAACAAAACTAGTGGAGTTATTTCACAAAAAAATCTCAATAATACATATAGGACTTGTCAACTTTCTGTCTCAGAATGACGAATGCAGTGGCTATGGCCTCCAGATCATTGCCATCTGCAAAGTTCTTAGTGGACGCATGACTTGTTCATCCCGTCACTTGATATCTTGAAAAAAATGTGAAAAAAGCCGTACTTTGCATCTCGATGCATTGTATTTAAACTTGACAAGATAAAGCAATAATAATTGTAAGTGCGCAATTTCAGCTGCGTTCATATTGGTAAGTTTAAATAATTTTGATTAGAACGGTTAGTTAATTTTAACAGTCGGCCGAAGTCCGTCTCCAAGGCGGAGCTCGCGGCAAACACCGGCGCTGCCTCGCCGAGCCGCGAGGCACAAAACGCCGCCTCCAGAACCGAAGTGAGTAGTGAATTTTATACCGAATTTACATTTAATATTAAAGTAAAATCTCTATTAAAGAAATATAAAATAAATACCTTCGTAATGATAGATAGATGAGCCATTTATTGTCGCTGGCAGGCACAAATACATTACTAAAAGTAAAGTAGAAAGAAAAAGTTAATAAATAAAAGAGGCTCTTAAATAGGAAAGTAAATTAGACTGCGCGTCATTGCACAATACGTAATGGTGGTTCTCGTAATAGAAATTGAAGTGGGGCTACGCGCAGCCTTCTTTCAACTAGGATATAATTAGTCAGCTCTGTAAAAGAACCTGTAAAAGAAACGACGACGAAACGTTGGTTTGTTTGAAAAAACCATTATACGCGATTTAGATCCGAAAAAATAGTTTCATTTCCTATGTGTAATAATCGCGAAAACCTAAGAACTCGATAGGATACAATTTTTTTCTGAACTGGGTTTCTCGACTAGGCTAAACTTGTTCTCCCCACTAGGTTAAAATGTTTCTCCCCACTAGGCTATAATCGTCCTTTTAAATTATTTTCTGGTTGTTCTCCCAACTTGGCGTTAGGCGCCTCGCACACGTGTGTCTTGGATACCAGCAACCGGCACCTAGAAGCGAATTATTCTATTTTCATACAATGGATATGAAATCGATACAGTCGTCGGTTGCGGCAGTACGACACTGTCGCCAGTTACCGCAACCACAATTGTATGAAAATAGAATATTCGCTACTAGTTGCCGGTTGCTTGTATCCGACATTCAGACACTCGTTTGTGTCGCGCCTTATTGTTTTCCACTAGGCAATAATATTCCTCCAACTGGGCTGTAATTTCTCTCCGAACTAAGTTCTAATTGATTTAATCACTGGGCTTTAATTTTTCTCCCCACTTGTCTATAATTGTTTTCCCCACTTGGCTTCCACTCTCTTATAGACTATGACAATTGACTCCAATATTGCAGGCAAGAGGCTACGGAGTGGTCGTGTTCGGAGTGCACGTTCGTGAACGGCGGCACCACTCTGGCGTGCGAGATGTGCCAGTCGCCGCGGCTGCGCCTGCTGCCCGCTGCGTCAGACGCCAGGGCCCTGGACGACGACGATGAACGTTCGTTATTCTTGTGTCTTTCAACACCGTATCACATCATCTCCTATCTCGCTATCTTGTGGCATTACAAAGTATTACAATTAGTACTTTAAAAAAATAATTAAGAATTCTTCTGCTGTAAATATTGAGATCTAAAATTATATCTAGCATATATTCATTCATACATTATACTCGACTATACTATAAAGTAATTATCAAGTTTTTATTGAATGTCACGATGTGTTACTACCATGACATTAGTTTTTTTTGTGAAATTGCTCCACTAGTTTGTTATAATTATTAATAACAAAGATCGAACACTTAGAAGAAAATCATTCGATGCGGTCGGATTCGAACAGACGTCTTCTAGCAAACCGTCCCAGAGGCTGTGCCATAACAATTATAGGTGTTTAACCTGTCCCGTAGGTCCCCTCGCAGGAGAGGGGTTGGGAGCGACGCTTGGATTGCACTTGACCTAATTGCTTCTATCAGTCAACGACATAGATTAATAACACGTATCACAACTTTCCTACGTAAACAACGTTAAAATCCAGGAGAGCCTTTAAATGATAGACAGCTAAAGTGACCAAATTAGCTAAAGAGTACAGCTGTAATAAGACGTTTGGCAGTCACTACTAAATGTTGTATTTGACCGGTTAACCCAACGCAATTACTACTAACGTTTGCTTGCAAGTGACAGCTGAAGTTTGTTTAGTTTTAGTTATGAAAAAATGGAATAATTTTTTTTCCAATTGTTCGATCTTACTTTCTCTATACACATGTCATAAACCCTCTCTGTGTTCAAAAACCGCAAATAACGATAAGCATAAAGACAAACTATTTTATTAGAACAAATTTCTTATCTGTGTAAATGTTATTATCGCTTCATATTAACAACAAATTAGAAGCGAATCCGGGAAGTAAGAAAGGTGTGAGTATAAAAATGACGACTGATGGGGGAGAATGGAAGAAAAATACATGTTGTGCCGACCCCACCTAGCATGGAATAAGGACAGGAAGAAGAAGAAGAAGAAGATTAACATCAAATTCGATTTTATTATTACATTCAAATTTCGAACATCTCGGAAAAACAAAACAATTTGCTTCGACCTCGATTCTAATATCAGTCGAGATGAAGTTTTATTCGAAATGAAATGTCAATAGCAAACAATTTTGATAAATTTCACACGTTACTTGATATCGAATGATATGATAGTTGGGGCCGATTCTAGTTTGTCTATGAATTTAATAAAAATTCCTGTTGTGTGACTTGCGTGAGAAATAGTAGTTAGGTTATATGACTGTTACATAATGAAAGGCATTAAAATACGAGTGCGGGTTTATATATTAGCACGAGCGTTTTGATGCCTAATTGTGTATTATGCTTTATCTACACACATATTGTAAGCTCTCTGTGATGTGTTCGGGACCCGCATGTTACGACTGGCGAAATGGCGGCAAATAAAAATTTTCTCACACATGTCACACAACTGAAGTTTTTATTTTTAATCATAGACAAACTAGAATCAGCCCCAACTATCATATCGTTCGATATCAAGTAACGTGTGAAATTGTCAAAATTGTTTGATATTGACATTTCATTTCGAATAGAACTTAATCTTGACTCAAATCATATTGTTTTGTTTTCAGAGATGTTCGAAATTTGAACATCGAATTCGATGTTATTATGAAGCAATAATAACATTTTCACAGATAAGAAATTTGTTCTAACAAAGCAGTTTACCTTTATGTTTTCTTGATGCGGTTTTTGAACACATTATAGAGAGTTTATAACATGTCTGTAGATAAAGTTTTTATTTGCCGCCATTTCACCAGTTGTAACATGCGGTTCCTGTACACATCACAGAGAACTTATAATATCTGTATAGATAAAGCAGTGTATGTAACTGCACACAAACCCACACTCTTATTTTAATGCCTTTCATTATGTAACAGTCACATAAACTACTGTAATAAACTATACTATAGTTTGATATTATTATTACACAAAAATCGAATAAACACAAAGCAAAATTCCCTGGACCTGACGACACGAAACAGCGAGTCTTGCCTCATCAGGACTGCGTTCCGTAGCTTAGTTGGCAGAATATATAAGAAATTTTAATAAATATTGTACGTTTCTTACAGCGGAAGGTTCAGACGGCGAACGGCAGGAAACAACGCCCATGGAAATTCTGCGGCTTCGGGAAGAGAGCCATGCATGGACGCAGTGGCAGGAAGTGCTGGCTCAATGCTCAGCCGTGAGTGTTCAGGCTAGTGAATTCCAGGGTTTTGTAATAAAACCAATTTCTTTCCAACCATTACCTTCAACTTACATATCAACGGGACATATTTTTGTAACCATATCATTATCTCAATTTCAACTCAATCTCAACTTTATTTCAATTGTGTTACGTATAAAATAGATATGAGCCATAAAAGCAGGTCGCATGTTTTTCGGTGAATTATCGCGCAGTATGGGGAATTCACGCAACTACCGTATCGTATCCAGTGTGTACTTTACACAATTTCATTATGCTATGTATAATTTCGTTACAATAGTTCAAACTTTTAAAAGCCATTGTCTTTTATAGTCCATTTCACATAGGATGGGAAACTGTGACATATAACATTTTTACTTTACATGCGTATTTTTTTTAAATACTGCCACAATCAGTTTACAAAAAGAAACAATGAATTTGTTGTAATGTATGAAAAACAAACAATATTTGAGTCAATTGTAAATTTAAGTAACAATTGCACTATATAAAGTAGATAGAAACTGAAATATTATTATTTAGATAAAAATAAATTACCCCAAGTACTTGATGCGTAAAACGAAATATGTATCCATAGAGAGTTACACCATAGAATCGATATCTCGCGTCAATACGTGTGCATACACACTGAATGCGGGTCCTTTTATTTTGCTTTGCGTTGATTTTGCTTTTATGATGTTTTGGTGTAATTGTTTAAATTTGCTTCGTTGCTGTTGATTTTATGTTTTTTTGGTGACTTTTTGTTTGGCTGTTGTTGATTTTTTTATTTATTGTGTAGTTTTTTAGTAACATAATTATTGAATCCTTTTTATTTTGCTTAATATTTGTTCTAAAGTATAGTCTCTTAATCGATTCTCTCTTCGTTACAAACTATCTCTGTAATATATTTAAATCGTTTTTTCTTCATTCGATTTTACATCACTACATCTCTAGAAACTTCAGACGTCACCGTACCCATGCTATGTGAAATGGACTGGTCATGAATGATGCAGGTAACTTGGTTTTACCACCAAACTAATGAAATAAGTATTCTTTTTATCATACTTTTACCCTTAAATCGGTAAAACCACGGGCGAAAAAAACAGCAAAACATCTAATTACAAAACAAACGGAATCACATTTTATCGGTAATTGAATATGTAATTTTTCAATTTTCGCCCATTATAGCAAAGCTCAAGTTAAACTGGTCGATTTGGAATAAAACAATTGACGACGCCCGTCAATTGTTTGGAATTCAGGATGGCCAATCGGAGCGCAGTTGTCACAGTAATGATTTGACAGAATAGTTTTCAAACAAATTAAATGACATTTCGTCTCTGTTCCTGGTTATGTACTCGATGATTGTAAATGATGCGAATAACTGAATAAAGAATTGAATTGAATTGAATTGAACTGAACTGATATTCAATTATTTTTTGTGAAATTACTCCACTAGTTTGTTATAATTATTAATACAAAGATCGAACACTCAAAAATAATTCCTTTGAAAAAAATTTTTGAATAAAAAGTCGTTGAAAAACCAAATACAAAAACACGATACAAGCACATAGAAAAATTCGTGAGGTCCGTTGGTTCGTTCCGTGGCTTAGTTGGTATAGCGTCTGGCACGGTATGCAAGAAGACGTCGGTTCGAATCCGACCGGATCGAAGGAATTTTTTCTAAGTGTTCGATATTTGTATTAATAATTATTACAAAGAACAACTCAAAGAGTTTCTTATTATGACGGATTTGATTATCGATGCTCAATATAAATGAAAAAAACTTAAAGTATATCTCCTCCTTGCATTTTCCGAACATTTATCTAAAAGCAGTTTATGTACGTACGAAAGATCAAAAATTAATATTTGAAATGAACCTTTGCCCAGCAATTGGACGGATAATGAGTCGATGATGATTGTAATGATACAATTTCGGTCATTTATTGCATATATAATTTTTATCGATTTCAAACACTAGCTGCTTGCAAGCAGGCAACACTTGCACAATGAACTATCATTTTAAATTAAATTAAATACTACTTCATTCGTCAACCACACACATATATACATACAAAATCACACAATATTATGCACTAACAAATTAAGAGCTATGAGTAATGAAAAGGACGAGGCTTCAGCTTAGTGCTGTTTTTCAGTCTCCACCTGTGTTCTCTGTAAATCTAACTATTTATTTACTGTAGTGATAATAATACACACAACAAGCAAAAACAAACAAATCTAATCTACAAACGGTGCACACGTTTAAAAGAAAATACAAACAATATCTGTTAGATATTCAAAATAATACCGTATAAGTTAACGTGGGCACTCACCGCTCTGTTTTCGACTTATGGCATTGGTGTGCGGCGGTCATCGTCATCAATGTTCTGCGTGCGGGATGGGGCAAGTGCGAATGGCATTTTTACGCTAATATTTTCGGTTGTTTATTTTGTTCCTAAAAATTTTACTGATTATTACTATTTGACATATGACACAATTCTTATTTAATTACATAATTAATATACAATTCATTATACAATTAAAATTATTTATGATAATCTGCAATCGGTAGAAGTTTTAAATATTGGTACATACCTTTTATGGCATAGGAGACTGCACGTTATTATGCGTGGTAAGTACCTACGATACAGGACGAAACCTGTTTGCTTACAAGCAACGGAGCTGGACGGAGTTGCCGGGGACCCCTCTCGCGCGCCTACCCGCTCGTCTTGCGTCGCCCACGTGACACAAATCTCGCAATTGATATCTTTTATAACTAAATAAGTCCCATTTTTGTTTGTTGTAAATAATAGACATTACATTGCATATGCTTATCACTGCATATATGTATCAAATGAATTATTTAAGTATTTTATAAATATAAGAGAACACACCATACTACATTATAGAAATATATACGTAATTTATTTTAGTTTAAACGCGACACACACGTCCGGTACTCACTCGGTTTTAGGGTCCACTGAAAATCAGCGTCACAGCCTTGTCCCGGCGGTGACATTAGCTGAGTGGATCCTATTACATACGCCACAGCCGCACACATAACATCTACTTCGTACAGCAATAGTGTTGACCAGTTTATGATCGAATAATTATTTATTGCCAAGATTTTATTTTTAATTAATTTTATTTAGTTTTCTTTTTTTTGTTATTCATTTTCTGTTTGTTTTAATTTAGTTTGTTTTAAGTTTAATTTAGTTCTGTTTTATTTTAATTTTTTTTTACTTTTAATTTTTACTGTTTATTATTGTGTTGTGGTGTTTTGTAATAAATGTATTCTATTCTATTCTATTCTATTCTAATCTAATCAGGACGACAAAGGGTACAAATGACTGTTACAAGACAACTAACTATACGGATTACTATTCCACAACCGACCAGGAACTTGATGACTTCTGTTGCAAAATAAGCCATTCTTTGCACTTTCGTTTGAAATATATCTGACAATACAGACAAAAATATAGTATGGTTGAAGGCACAGTCGTCCGGGGTCACGGCCTTAGGTTCAAGAACGGATACGTACAATTATTTTGATGTTACAATGTATACTTATCTTTCAGACGGGCGAGCCCTACGTAGACGATTCGTTCCCCGCCGCACCCCGGTCGTTATACTACGAAGGGGTCCCTACTGATTTCGGTCCGGCGTCGCGATGGCTCCGGCCACATCAGATACACGTCGACACGGACCATCGGCTGCCGTGGGTCGTGTTTAGGGACCCGAGGCCTTCTGACATATCGCAAGGTAAAGCCTTCATGTGTTCATACGTCAAAAGTGCTTTTGTCACGCGACAGCAGAGATCTTATACACAAGATATGTTTTGAAATCTGTCGCGCAACCTATATAAACTTTTTTTGAAAATCGCGTGTCATTTGCAATGCCGGGGCATAGATAATTATGATTTTGTTGAACAGAATGAACATTCTGAGAAGTAGGCAAGAAGTAAAACACAATGGAAAACGAAAACAAATTCGTTTTATTATTTAAAAATAATGTGAAAAATATTTGTTACCCGACTTCAAAATAAGAAGGAGGCTCTCAATTCGATCGTTTTTTTGTATATATCGCACTGCTATTACAATAGTGTTGTAACTCAAAAAGAGGACGTTCTCAGAATCGATGAAAAACGAATTACTCACTTCCTGCAAAAAAATCATTAAAATTTATATGTTTTAGTTTATTGTAGACACTTAAACAATTTGTTAAATATATTTAACAATAAAATGGAAAAAATAATTTCATGGTTTTCAATAAGGATTATTTTGGCCAGACTAGCTCACATAAAGTATGTCTCATTTTGAGTTAAGTAGATGTCTTTTGATTGTTTCTTACAATATTCTAACGACGGTTGTTTTGAAGTGTAGAGAACCAAGTTTTACGTTCAGTAATGATATAATATTCAATTTCACATATTTTGAGTTACAACACTATTGTATTGGCAGTGCGATAGGTTACGTGATAACTCCGATTTGTGAACCAGTTTTGATGATTATTTTTTGTTGGAAAAATTGGTTACCGCAGTATTGGTTCCATTTAAATTTGAAAAAAATGTTCCACCTCTAAGCGTGGCCAACTAGGAGATGAATCCGGTTTCGCGCACTATCCGGTAATCGATTTCAATAAAACTTGGCAAACAGATGTAATTCCGCAAAAATTTGAGGTCGTTTTTTTAGTACTCTGTACAGTGCCTTGGAGCATTGCCATTTCTAATGTAATAAATAGAATTGTTTGTAGTGTTCCTGTCCAAAGACATCCACTGCTGACGTAGACCTCTCCCCAAAGACCGCCACAACGACCCTATCATTTAAATTAAGTTTAATAAATTGTTATTTCGCTATTAAATATTAACATTAATGTCTTATATTTTAAAAAAAGTTAAAAAAAAATTTTAAAGAAGTTGTGTTTTTTATATACAGGCAAGAAATGGTTGTATATTGTAAGACTGCGTAAAGATGTAGGTTACCAATCCGCGTAAATAAGTTTCCCGTCTACAATACAGCTAGCATTGTAGTCGGGAAGCAGCATCTAACGAATTGATGACTTTGCTGCCTACAATGTTCGTATCTGCATTTATAATCTGTGACCGGAGTTCGTGCGTTCTTATCGCACTTCCCACAGGAATAATTTACTATCTCTGACTTCAATGAGCAGTTGTTTTTTTATGAAAATAAACAGAAAAATAAATAAAATAAAGCAATCATGTAAATATTCATTCTTTTCAAATCTACCGACTTATGAAAATCAAATGTCATGTTTCAATATTTCCAGGTGTACTAGGCAACTGCTGGCTTCTATCAGCACTGGCAGTTCTTGCGGAGCGGTCAGCTTTAGTCCGCGGGGTGGTGGTCCGCGGCGAGCCCAGCGTAGGGGCCTATCAGCTGAGACTCTGCAAGGATGGACGTTGGCTTACAGTTACCGTTGATGACCTGTTGCCTTGCAATAAAAAAGGACACCTTGTCTACTCACAGGTACCTCCTTAAATGTACTTAAGTCGTAGTCACAAAAACTGCATTTTGGAGCTGACCAGCTGTACTAGAAGTTGGCAGTTTTAAAATAGCCTGCATCCAAAATGGATTCAAATATTCCATTATTTTCGACTGTGCATGCAAAACGATTTTCAACCGCATACAAACTTCATTTCGACTGTATCCAAAATGTCTTTTGACTCCATCCATATAGAGTTAGTTACTCTCCAAATTCAATACAAAATGATTTTCAATTGCGTTCAAAAAATACTTTTCGATTGCATCTAGAATGTATTTCGACCGCAATTTCGTTGTACGCAGTCAGTCTACGCACTGAGGTATTCAGGTTTACTCCAATTTCCAAACCTGTGAGTATTTCATAGTGGTCTTGTAAAATCAACATTAAAAAAACTTTAACAAAATAATTGATCTCTTCAAAGATAATTTTTCGTAGAATTTTCTTTAAAAAAATTTAATATCACAATGTTTTTCTTACCAGGCCAAAAGAAAGCAGTTATGGGTGCCGTTGATAGAGAAAGCGGTTGCCAAACTTCACGGTTGTTACGAAGCTTTAGTGTCTGGTAGAGCTATTGAAGGTAACAGGTTTCTTTGATATGTCTTTTTTATTTTTTTATTTCAAACTCTTATAATTATACACATATTTAGTAAGGCCATCGAGTGTATAACCAGAAGTAGAGACGAAATAAGGACCATACATTCCTGGTAACTTATCAGTTATACATCACTTATAATTTCATCTCTCGTTTGCACTGAAATATAGACAGCGCTAACAACTGACCTGTGTGTACGTCTCCGTATATTCCAAAAATATTCTGTGTTTATTGTAATAAAGATAATATCTCTAACAATGGCGTGCTGCTCTATTCGGTGGTGTGGGGAAAAACAGCAAAACATCTAATTATAAAACAGACGGAATCACATTTTATCCGTAATTAAATATTAAAGAGGCAAGTTTGCAATTTTCGTCCATTCTAGCAAAGCTCAAGTTATTTTGGTCGTTTTGAAGTGAAGCAATTTGAAGCAACTACCCTCAATTGTTTCGAATTCGGACTGGCCAATTGGAGCGCATTTGTCATTGTAATGATTGGGCAGAATAGTTTTCAAACAAATTAAATGATGCTCTATTTCTGGTTATATACTCGATGAGTAAGGCTCACTTCTTAGTATAAGAATGTACCAATGACTCTAGAGGCCTGCTATATGCAATAAAAGACAGTGTAGTCAGATATTTAGTACCTATTTGAACACCAGATGTTGCGACGAGTACCTAAAAGCTATTTTCGTAACTAATTTGTTTTACATTGACAAGCTGCAATTTATCAAAGCTACTCTAATTTCTAGCGATAATAAACAAATCAACTAGATGGCGCTTTATGGATAGTGCCAATTAATCTTTTCATTTTCATTATTTTGTTTAGGATTAGCGGCATCTTAATTTTATAACATCAAGTGACGGGACGAACAAGTCGTGCACCTGATGGTAAGCTACACGCCTGTCCTTAACAGTTACAGTGGCACTCAGAGCTTTAAATTGCTAAGATCTGAGGGGCACTACCACTGCGCTCGTCACCCTGAGACAAGTTTACATGTCCCATGTGCCTGTAATTTCACCAGCACCCTTACCCTTCGAAACTGTAACACAGCAATGCTGCTATTACTGCTTGGTGGCAGAAATAGGTAAGGTGGCAGTACTTCCCTGGACGAACTCTTTGACAAGGAGCTCTACTTCTACTAAGCTCTACTGCATCTACCCATATTAGAAGGCGTTAATTTATAAATTAGTTTGTAACACACAATACCATCTGTTAATACACATATTTGTCTAAGTTCTGAAAATGATTTTAGCTTATGGTAAATTAAATATTACGATGAAAAAAAACTGACTTACAGATGTACAGGAAGGGAATGGTGCATCATGCGGGGAGGCTCCTTTCTTTCACACCACCTCATCACTCAATAGAATTCGATACAATAAAAAAATTGTAATAAATTTACTCATTAAGATAATAATAATAATAAGCATTTATAAAAAAATAAATAAAAATCATTTCTACAAAAACCATGCAGAATTTAAATTAAATTTAGAAAATGAAATTAGATAATTAAAGTGTCGAAAGTAAATATAAGATTTTAAATTTATTGGAAATCCCATCTCTGGACGTAGGTCTCCTCCATCCTGTGCCACTCGTCTCTGTCCGCAGCTAATCGCGTCCACGTTACTCTTTATTGAAATTTAATGGAAAGGATTAATTACAAGTTGGAAATGAATAGTAGAGTTAGATAAATATGACAGTAAAATGGTATTAATTTAACATGTCGTAAAAAGTATAAAAAAGGCAATAAAAATTAACGAGATCAGTTGCAAGGACCAGTACTTTGCATTTAAATTAACTCTTCCTTTACGAAAGTCGCGGAGCCGAGACGGACCTATTTCCGGTTCTTATGGACGGCCAATTAACTTCCGCAAATTAATAGAGAAAGAGTAATTAATAATATTGTAACTAACGCATTTTATCTTTTTTCCAGGTCTATGTACGCTAACGGGCGCCCCCTGCGAGTCGGTGTCTCTTCAAGCGGGTGGCGCCGGTGGGGGCACCGGTGTGGGGGTTCCTTTGGAGCAGCTCGACAGAGATTTGGTGTGGGCACAGCTGCTGTCTTCCCGACAGGCCTGCTTCCTTATGGGGGCTAGCTGCGGAGGGGGCAATATGAAGGTAAAATTTAATTTAATGTATTCCGCAAATGGAAAATAATTTTCGAAACTTTTTCAAAACTAAAGGACGTAACCTGTAATTTCGAAAACAGTGAATTATTTACATTACAACAGTCTCACAAACCATACAAATCCATTGAATGTTGTAAGAGTGCAGTATTTACTGAAATTCAAATCTGTGCTTTTTTTTGTAACATCAGGTGACGGGACGAACAAGTCGTAGACGAATAAGCTAAGTCCATAACAGTTGCAGTGCCACTCAGAACTTTAAATCGCAAAGATCTGAGAGGCACTGCTGCTGCGCCTGTCACCATGAGACATAAGTTGACAAGTCCCATGTGCCTGTAATTTCACCACGTTTGTCGGTTAACGGTGTTGGTTACTCATTAAGTCACTATTTTTTAATTAATTGATTGCTAAAATACGACAAGGACATAGATAAATTCGTGAGGTCCGCTGGTTAGTTCCGGGGCTTAGTTGGCATAGCGTCTGACACGGTTTGCTAGCAGACGTCGGCTCAAATTCGACCGGATCGAAGGATTTTTTTCTAAGTAGATCTTTCTATCAATAATTATAACAAACTAGTGGAGTATTTTCACATAAAAAACAATTGAATATCAATTCAATAGAAAATTTATTAATTGATAATTATAAGTATGTACTACTTGTAATGTGTAATTATTTATTAATCCCAATAAAAAAACTTCAAATGTCTATTTCACAGCTGACAACTCTTAGTGTATTTCACATAGGACGGGTACTGCGATATTTAAAATTGTTACGTTGCATGCATACTATTTTTAACTAATCTTTCAACCAGGTTATAAAAAGAAATAGTAAATTTGTTATAATATACCAAAAACAAAGAATATTTGTTGCAGTCGTAATTTTAAGTAAAAATGATAATATATTAAGAAGATAGAAAATTAAATGATTAAGATAAAAATAAATTACCCCAACTACTTCATGCGTAAAACGGAGTATTTATCCATAGTGATTGACACCGTAGAATCGATAAACCGAATCGGCAATTGTATATCTCTATAATATAATATTAATGCATTATATCTTTTGGTTTTGAGCTTTGTGTGATGTTTTTGGAGTAAATGTTCAAATTCCATTTTGTTGCTGTTGAATTCATGCTTCGTTGTACTTTTTTAATAACTAAAATAACATAATAATTGAATACTTTTTATTTTGTTTATAATTTGTTCTTAAATTATTGTCTCTATATCTATTCTTCGTCTCATTGCAAATTATCTCAATAACGTATTTTAAACGATTTTTTTTAAATTTGATTTTACATCACTACATCTCTAGAAACTTCAAATCTCAAACGTCACCGTGCCCATGCTATGTGAAATGAGCTATAGATAGGCTGATGTGAGAAATTTAAAAATACATAGGTACTGTACAGATATTTATGTTGGTTATGATATTTAGGCACGACTTGCCAAAATAGGATCCACACTCGTGGACATCTCATAGACCCTCATTTTTTTTTTCACTGCCATGTACCACTTTTAGATTGGAGTTTATCCCTAGCGGTCGATATGCGCTATTTAGGGAATCATCCCTATATAAGATGTCATTTTAGGCAAAATTATTCATTTACCCAGCAGTTTTAGTCACTGAAAATAAAAACGCTCGTTTGTATAATTGAAGATCACATTTGCTAACAGGTCGACGAAGAAGAATATCAACGACTCGGCCTCCGACCCCGTCATGCCTATTCCGTATTAGATGTCGTTGAAATCTCCGGGCCTACCCGTCTCTTACGCCTACGTAACCCTTGGGGCCACTACACATGGAGGGGGGCCTGGGGCCACGGCTGCCCACGGTGGACCGAAGAGGTAAAGAGAGCAGTCGCTGCACAGACCGGAACTTCCGACGCTGATAGAGATCAGGGCGTCTTTTGGATCAGTTTTGATGATGTTCTTAAGTGAGTATTGAAATGATGTATATATCACACACTTTATCGGGAACGGGAATTTTGTAAATGCCAACTAACTGCCTCCGTTACTTTTCTCGGGAGTTTGACACAGGGGTTCCCTAGTGCAGGGCTATAAGTGTGCGCGTTATTATTATTATTAAGTTCAAGTTCTGACCTTAGATCAGTCGGTGTACAGGGTTAATGACTCCCAACTACAAAGAATATCCCGTTCCCCTTCGCAGATACTTCGACTGCATAGACATCTGCAAGGTGCGCGTGGGCTGGCACGAGGTGCGGCTGGCCGGCATCCTGCCGCCGATGTCGTCGACGCGCCACCTCACCTGCCTGCTGCTCACGGCTACGCAGCCCACCGAGGTGGACTTCACACTCTTCCAGGAGGGCCAGAGGTGAGATATTCAATCCGAATGGTGTATCTTTACCTCAATAAGAACTAAATTGTTACATAAGTAGCAGTAGAGCTCCTTGTGACAGAGTTCGTCCAGTACTGCCACCTTCCCCATTTCTACCGTCAAGCAGTAATGTGACAATTACTCTTTTCCTCGCAACATTATTCAAGTATTGATCATGAGCTAAAATTATTTTCTGAACTTTGACTAAATGCGTGTCAATAGATGGCATTACACAATGCTACAAACTAATTTATAAATTAACGCTTCCTATTATTGGTAGATGACTCTAATCCTAAACAAATTAGCCAGTGCTATCTTTAAAAATCTGTGCAATAAGCGCCATCTAGTCGATTTGGTTGTTATCATTAAGAATTGGAGTATCTTTGATAAATTGCAGTTTGTCAAAATAAAACAAATTAAGAGTAATTTCACATAAAAAATAATTGAATCTCAATTCAATAAAAAAAAATCCAATGAATAGCGACATCTCTAGCCAGGGCTGGTAGCTGTAAAGATATCTAACTGGCTGACGAAATACTTAACATTTCTCATAGATGGCGCTACGGCGAAAAAGTCGTTAAACAAACCAAATACAAAGACACGACTTCAAACACAGAAAAATTCGTGACGTCCGCTTTTTCGTTCTGTGGCTTAGTTGGTATAGCGTCTGGCACGGTATGCTAGAAGACGTCGGTTCGAATCGAAGTATTTTTTCAGTGTTCGATTTTTGTATTAATAATTAAAACAAATATAGTTATTTGATACTCGTCGCGACATCTGGTGTACCAATAGGTACTAAATACCCGAATACGCTGTCTTGTATCGCGATTAGTAGGCCTCTTCGAGTTATTGGTCCATAAACTTCCTAAAGGCCATTATTTTATAGCACACAAAGGACGTCAATCTCTGCGTATAGTTAACCCACAGACTGCATATATAAAAAGGTTGGCAGAAGGATTTAAAGAGAGTGACTTTTACGTTTTCTTATGTTTTACTTTTTTTGTTATAAATACAATTGTTTGTTTTACAGGAATTCAGCAAAGAATCAGCGTTCACAACTTGATCTCTGCGTGGTTGTGTTCAGAACGAAATCGGGGCCGAGCGCACAGATCGGGAAGTTAGTCGCGCACAGTAAACGGCAGGTATGTAAAAAATCCGTTATTGGACAATTAAACATATTGATGTTGCTAGAGAACAACAGAAAATGCTTGACAGTGTGATGTGGTGAGCAATGATACTCCAAGTCCATATAAAGTAAATGCACATGTATTTTAAATCTTCACAAATAAATAAATTGACATTAAATGTGGGCCCAGCCCCCAATGACCAGCCCCGTATCTTTTTACATACGTTTTGATTATACCCTCCCTACCGACCCTTAGGGTATACGAAGACACTATAACCTGTGCAAACGCATGGATCTTCTCAGTCTGGTCCTGCCCCCAGGTCAGTCCGTTTGCATAGACTTCATCCCTTTCTCAAAAGGCTAGTGCTTTGGGTGAGCTGCCCCGGGTGCACGTACAGCACCTTCCTATTTTCCAGATAGGTACCGGAGCTGTAGGAACGTTCATATCCTGTTGCGCATTGCGCAACTAACGTTGGTACCGCAAAGCCCTTGACTTCAAAGCCCACTACCAAGTCTCCTCTTTGGTGGCGGAGCTCTCCAGTTCCCAGAAACCTACGCGACTGGAGGGACCGGAGAATGATCTAGCAAGAATCTAGGTCTAACCTAATCTAGCTAGGAAAAATCTAGCTCATCCTCTACTAGCTCTCCGGGCTAGTGCCAGAGATGTCGGTCACAGTGTTCTGTGACAATGTTCGGACTTAGTTTCCAACTTAAAGGACAACTCATGTGTCCCATTGTCCCGCTACTAAGACGCGCTAGTTGACCGCGGGATGAACAACCCCGGCGAGTCCAACCCAAGTTCGGATTCACTAGAGTCGCTCGTGAAGGTGCATCACAGGCTTGGCCCTGGTCTTACCGGGGTGTCTGTCGTATGGTGAATGTTAGCTAAGTGCCCTCTCTTCCGGTCGCCAAGCAACATTACACTGCGCCGGCGATGACTGCCCATGACACCTGATCGAAAAGCCAAGCGTGAATAATTTAGTTTAATGATTTCCGTACGGACGAAGCGCTTTGCTTTCTTCTTCCTAATGCATACGGCAAAGGAATGGTATACACTTCTATATGTGTTGACTTTTTTTTTGTTAAATATATTATTATTATTTCTTCCAGGTTCGAGGTTTCGTAGGCTGCCACAAAATGCTAGAAAAAGGTTTTTACCTCGTGGTTTGTCTAGCGTTCAACCACTGGCACACGGGGTTGGAACTAGCGGACAGTTCGGCGTGGCCCCGACACGTATTGGCCGCGCATTCGTCGAAACCATTGGTCGTGGAGCGACCGGCGCTACATCCGCATATATTGGCCGACGCTATTATCGGTCTGACACTTGCAAGGGGGCAAAGGCATGAGGGTAGACAGGGAATGACTGCGTATTATCTTACTAAGGTTAGTTTTCTTCTGTTTAGAAACCTTGTTATTACAAGTTGATTTGTTTCTTACGGTATTTTGTTTGCTACAAAATAATTTAAAAATTTAATTTATTTGTAATAGATTGATGACTTCGCTGGTCGAATGGCTTGCACACAATGGTTTCATGGTATCGTCATCTGAGTGAGAATGGCATTCAGAAGTACCGGGTTCGATCCCCGGCCGGGTCAGTGTAGGAAAATTAACTTTTCTATTTAGTATAGTATCGTTGTCGCCGATTTCCATAACACAAGTCCTTTAGTTACTTTTGGGATCAGAGCAACGTATGTAATGTTGTTTAATATTTATTATTATTCTTTCGCACCGCTCATGGAAGGATGGCATAAGTGGAGTTACATGAAACATGTTTATTGCTCCATTAGATACAGAAAAATATGACCCACATCCTCTCCAATTCTTGTAACTCAATGTACAATATTAGTCGCAAGAGTTACAAGAATTGAAGAATTTTTTGACGTAACTTTTCTAATGCCATTTTTCCATTAGGGGTATGATTTTAGGGGTTTGTTTATTGCACTACTTTGTTTATTACTAACCAAGTATCTTTGGTTTAGTCAACTTAAAAAATAGGCCCTAGGTTTTTAGATATGTCTGTTGCATAATTTAGACAATTTGTTATAAACGTCAGTTTCGAAACAATCTGAAAACCGTGCAATTTACTTTGAAAATTAAAATTATATACCGCTATGTTGATTTTGGCGTAATTTGATCTTTTAGATCACTGATGTCATTCATTCACAGCCTTTTCTCGGCGGTGCCATTGGCTGAGTGGATCCTTTTACCACGCCACAGCCGCACACGTGACATTTCCTTTAATTGTGTAGACTATTTGATTTTTGCATTTTTGTTATTACCAATGGTTGGAAAAAGGTGTTCCACATACATCGGTATAAATATAGCTATCCTACTTTGACTTTCTATGTGAGTACTTTTGTTCTACGATGCATTAAAACCATTTCCGGAAATTCGGAATTCGAAAATAGTAATTAATAAAAATTTGGTTGTTTTAACAACCTTGTGTCCTGGAACATCTTTTTCCTACCTACAATTATTATGATTTTATTAATTTTTTTTTTTGTTCTTCATGTGCCATCTTTTAATGAAGGCGATCATAATGGCAATCTGAACCTTGGACACAGCAGCTCTGAATAATGATCGTGTTCGTGGTGCTCCTATTGAACCAATGGCGCAAATTTCTGAGCCAGGATATTCTCCTTCTTCCTACACCTCCTTTTTCCTTGTATTTTGCCTTGGATTGTTATAATTTTTCGTATTTTTTGTTATCTTTTGTATATCTTTCTTACTGTGTATTTTTATGTTGCGGTTTTGTAATAAATGGTTTCTGTTCTATATGTTGAATTATGAAACGAAGACATATATACCAAATTATTCGTAATTACTACGTTACAGGGCTGGGCGGGTCTGGTGGTCATGGTGGAGAACCGCCACACGGACAAGTGGATCCACGTGAAATGCGACTGCCAGGAGAGCTACAACGTCGTCTCCACGCGCGGCGAGCTTAAAACCATCGATTCCGTACCACCGCTCCACAGGTAAGACTGGTGAAATTACAGACACATGGGACTTCTTTACTTACGTTTCATGGTGACGGGAGCAACAACCGTGCCCTTTAGATCTTTGCGATTTAAAACTCTTAGTGGCACTGCAACTGTTATAGACAGGCGTGTCGTTTAACATCAGGCTTACGATTTCTTCGTCCCGTCACTTGCTATTATAAAAAAAAAGAAAAAAGATGCTACTGGTTAACTCATTAATACGTATGGCGTTCAATGTAATAATTCACGTTGGTTGGTTGCTTCTATAAAACTGTGAATATTTATATTGTACAGTAGACTACTGGACGTGCTTATTTGATACATACGAAATCACGGTTAGTTTGTAATAAATTAAAAAAACGTTTGTAATTCCAGACAAGTGATAATAGTGCTGACCCAGCTGGAGGGCAGCGGTGGCTTCTCCATCGCGCATCGGCTGACGCACCGGCTGGCGGCCGGTGCCCGGCTGCAGGATTGGGCACCCAGCAGCGACGAGGAACCCCGCCACCGCCCACCGCTGGCCCGCCGCCTCTACGGCTTGCACGCACCCCGCCTCATCACTTAAGCCTATGTCGCACTTTGCTCTACATTCTTATTTCTTAAACAGAGTCCATTTTGACGCCTATCCAATTTCCCAGGACAACGATCGCGATCCGGTCAGTTTAAAGTTTACTATAAAGGCTAACTTTCAACTTAAAACCGTTCATTAAAAGAAACTACTTTTGCTCTTCAATTTTCAAATTACAAACATGTAACAGAATATTCATGAATTTCGATACCTTCAATGAACACTACTGCAACTTTATATTTTCGTTATTTTCTGTTGTTTTTATAAACAGTCATATTTCTTTACTAATATTATGCTCCCCGAATTTTGTAAAAAACAAATTTTACAAAATTTGTAAATGAAAACAGAACATGTCCAAATATTTAGTTGTGTAGTGTTCATTATGGAGATATCGATTTTACCCATAGTAAAACGCTTGAAACTATTTTTTCGGATGTAAATCGAGTATATATTTGTTTCTCCCGTTGTAAAGTCCCGAAACGTTGGTTTGTATGAATAAACAAATGCACGCAAATGAAATCCGAAAAAATACTGTCTTTTCCTGTGGTTAAGACCTAAGAACTCAAAAATATTTTGTTTTAACTACAGGTAATGTCACTAGGTTGAAGGTTAATTAAAACAACCAGATAATTTAAACCATATACGAACTCTAGTTCATGTAAACGTAAAGCCTGAAAAATTAAATATCAACTCTACCAACGTTTATTACGGATTTTAAAAGAACTTCTTTCTTTACAACTAGCCTATTATTTTAGTAATTTGTCTGTATAACCCCTATAACGGATTGAAATGTCAAATTCTATATATACATTATCAAAAATTTTGAAAAGACTTCAAAAATTGTTATGGCTTATTTAGATTTTGAATTTACGCCAAGTATACAAAACGCTAACCTCGGTCAGTGCTTTAGGATTTGTATGTTTAGTGGTGGACACCTTGGGCCCTTCAAGGCCAGTTCGTCTTAAAGACTCCGGTGACCAGACCGTTGGCAGCTACTTCTACCAAAAAGTAAGCTTAGCTGTCCAAAGGGAAAATATTGCTTCCGGTAATTTTTAATGAAATTTTGTCCCTGTAGATATTTTTTCTTCTATATTATTTTTGGTATATTGAGTTGTCAGAGGCAAAACTCAATAAGTGTGCTAATTTTCCTCATCATTATTATTATTGTGGAATCCAATATTCAATTTTATGAGTAACACAGAAACGATTTAGTTACAAACCTCGCTTTTTGATACGAAGTGACAGGTCAAACGAGTCGTGCGCCTGGTGGTAAGCGACACGCCTATCCGTAGCAGTTGCAGTACTACTCAGAACTTTAAATCGCAAAGGCGTGAGGGGACTGCACTCGTCACCATGAGACATAAGTTGCCTAGTCCCAAGTGCCTGTAATTTCACCAGCACCCTTACCCATCAAAACTGGAACGCAGTACTGCTCATATTACTGCTTGGCAGCAGAAATATGCAAGGTGACAGTACTTCCCTGGACGAACTCTTTCACAAGGAGCTCCACTGCTACAGACCATAATCGAGATAACAATCCGCGATGTTGGTACAAGATTACATAATTATTGCATTTGACAAAGGTTATTTCAGTATAACACTAGAATACTTTGATGAACACCTTAATTTTTTCAAATTATGCTACAACCTGTAGGTACAACTAAAATGGTAATGTGGCGACTAACGCGACGACCAGGCGGGAGTTGACCTACGTCTTCGGACCCCTCGATTTTATTACATTTATGTTCTTCCCTTCATAAATTTGCAAGTTAGTCAAGTTTTAAAACTTTGTGATATTTTTAATATTACGAAGACATCACGTTTTCGTGCCTTCTTGTAAGTCCTTTTTACATTTGTCGTTACTTCAACTACTGTAAATAACCAGTACACGTTGAGCTCGTGACCGGTAACCGCGCCATCTAGCGAATGGCCTATAAGAAACTTTAATTAAACGTTAAGGAAGTTTATATAAAATTGCCTATAGATAAACGTCTCATATTTAACATTATTGAGTTAGTGCGATTGCCGTTGGAATGCAGTCTGACCGCAGTATTGTATATAATGAAAACTTGAGCCTAGAAAAGTTCGGGTAGAGATGCAATTCGCAAAAACTTAAAAAAGCACAAATTTATTTTGATGTGATATATTTATTTTTAACCGACTTCCAAAAAAAGAGGTTCTCAATTCGACTGTATGTTTTTTTATGCATGTTACGCGATAACTCCGGTATTTGTGAACAACCGAGATGATTGAAAATTAGCAGGCTTGAAGCCTTGGTATCGTCAAATTGATAAAATATTCATTCGAAAGGCAGACAAGAAACTCTAGGGTTTGCTTTTTGTAAGATGATATTTGTTCGCATTTATCATTTACAATATTTATTTTAAAATATCTCACACTTCTAGTGTTCTAATAGAATTTTACTCCATAATCTTTTGATTTTCATAAATGACCTTGGCTTACATTACCGTGGAAACAGCATAATCATCTTAACGTCAATGGTGTAATGTATAAACTACGTACATCAAAAGTATCTAGGGATCAAGGTATGTTTTTTAAATATTTAATTACCCTATTAAAATTAACTAAAAATATCTATATACATTTATTAAATTATTTTATTTATTATTTATACCAGATATGTTAAGAACTCAATTTCGAACTAAAAATATTGATTACGTTAGTACGATTAGGACAGCATTTGCGACTGAGATAACCCTAAATTCAGCGATCGATTGAAGCCGTGGTTCAATCGATGCCGACATCATGAAAAGTAAATATGAATTGAGACTATTTACTAGTCTGTATTTTTTGAACATGGAGTAAAAGTTGCCAGTTTTCGTAAATTTTTAACTAGTCATGTAGTTGTTGTCGACAGTTTTATCGATAGATTGTGAAAGTAGGTAAAATTTTGCCAATTACAAATTCTGAATGTTATGACGTTCTAATGAATATTAATTACGTCATTGTATTCTTTATTCTTATTTCGACCGTTGGCCTGGTTGGTTGGTTGGTTAATATCAAAATCAATTTTGGTCATACACATTTTAATAACGACATACTTCTAAATTTGGTATATGTATGAATGAAATTTTCAAATGTCATTTTGAATTCATTGAATTAATCCTCATGACATTTTCATTTTGTGCCATGAACATCATCTTGAATGAACATCATATTATATATAATGAATATCATTTTACTCCATGTTCAAAAAAGACAGACTATATAAACAGCTCAATAGTTACATATATAATTAATATAATAGCTACAGTTTATTATTCATATAGCTGCTACTGCTCCATCTCAAGTTTGCCCTCCGTATAAGTCGCCACTACTGGACACGGATATATGAAAAGGGTTTCTAAATGAACAAACAAATCGACTCGTCCGTAGAACAAAGATCTGTGTGCAAGACTGCTTATTCTCAGAACATTGTACATTTCGTTCGTTGTTCCTCGCTATATATATTAGATCGACCCGTGTTCGATTTTATTTGTCAGAAACGAAATAAGATATAAAAATTCTCAAAACACCTATAGATAGGTCTTAGTTTGACTAATTGATAATGCATTTATCATATTTTCGTTGTACACTCACATCGGACTCTGTTCTTCGGATGAATCGAAGTGTCTACACTTTTTTGTACACCACGTCGCGCGCTTAAATTATACAAACTGTCATTTTGTGATATTGTTAAATAATTACTTGTGCTAGCGACATAAGGTTCAAATTGCAATGGGAAATTTGGGAAGTCTGTATACATCTATTTGTACCCTATCCGTGGTACAGTAAGTATATAAAATTAGACAGTCGACATGGCGCTGGCTTCACTCGTGATAAATGGTCGGAAAAAGGTGTTCCACATATATAGATACATGAATAGATATAGCTACAAGGAGCTACATAGACTTGTTAAATCCATCAAATATTAATTAATTACTTTTTTCGAATTCCGGATTTCCTGAAATGGTTTAACTGCATCGTAGGACAAAACTACTGACTTAGGTAGTGCATGCACTCAGCAGGCGCTCACACGCACTCGGATTGGATAATGGTATTCATAAAGATTATTGCGACTTTAATTTCCTAAGTAAATTATATTGAAAATTCGAAACGTAATAAAAAGATTTTTCAACGAAAGAAACTCATCTCTTTATTCTGTTTAGATGATTATAATAGCCGTACATGGCATAATTCACGACCATCATAATAAAAGTAAGGTACGTTTGTAATAAATAAATTTAAATAGTTTAAACATCAACGTGTTGTCCTTAGCGAATGGTTCGATGAAGGCCTTGTTGCCGTTCCGTCAATGTGACTGTCAACATGCGGGGCACGGTGCGGTATCTAAAGCTGGGGGGGGCGGAGACCATTCTCGTTATTTTGTTATTCTCTGCTTTGGTAAAAGGTCACACATCTACTGCTTTTTTACATGGCACCATTAGAATTACTTTAAAATCCAACTTTGACTTCCTAGATCAATAATTTTGTCCTACGCTGCAGTAAAACCGTCTCCGGAAAGTGCGGAATTCGAAAAAAATAGTTAATTAATATTTGGTGCTTTTAACAACTGTATGTCGCTCCTCGTAGCTATACATGAGTCTATATGTGGAACACCTTATTCCGATCATTGCTCATGATGATTCAAATTGAACTTTATGCCTTTTATGATAAGAGCGGTCCGTTGTACAACGTGTAAAGCTGAGTATGATGTTGACTATACTTATAGTTTCTAAGCGTGTTTGATGCACAAAATATCACTACATTCAAATGTGTAGAGACATCGCGCTTTATTACGCGCAGCGCAGCAGAGGCTTATATAGTTGCCATATGTTAGAAAGAAACAAATATAGTTCAGGAAACTATAGTAGATTATAAGTGTGCCAGATTCGAAACTGGTTTTAACAGGATAGGTAGCTCTTTGTTCAATGATAACTCCAAGGGTAATATTAAAAACACATCAAAACTAATATTGAAAAGACCGATTCCCAATTTGTTTCAACCAGGAATCGAATCCTGGATCGTGTAACAACATCTCAGCTGAACTGAGGAAACCTCGCATGGCACACAAATTATTAAATACTTATTTGTATCAAAATATACAATCGCTATTTTTTCAACTATCAAAATACTCATAGTCGTATGTACACTTCAGGCCAAATAAAAGGGCACAACACTTGTTTATTTATTATTTAAACTATTTTACTCTTCGTGCAATATCGTGCAGTTTTATTTGGCCTGTACATCGTTGGAAAAAGCACCCTGTGTTGTTTTTTGACGCAAATTATAAATAAGTCACATTACGCGTATATCATGTGTAGAATGTAAATTTAAGTCATACTGTAATGTAAAGTTAAAAATGCAATCGTTTTTAATTCATTTACAATGTATTTAGCGACGTTGTACGTAGGTATTAATGTAAGGTGAATATTTAAAAAATAACTAAGCTAATTAACATCAGACATAATTAAGAGCTAGTGTCTTATATATTCTTGTGTAAATCTCGTGAACTAGTGTAAACTAAATTTGATTTTTTTTACACGACGTTGACTTAATCGCTTTAAAAACAGTTACTTAAACAATAGATAATCACGTTCTGTAGATGACATTTTGACCAAATTAATTTTTGTTTAGGAATAAACTGCGATGCTCCAAAAAGTCAATGTTTGAAACTAATCGTGTCTGGTGGTAAGGGACACGCCTACCGATAACAGTTGCACTGCCATTCGAAGTTTTAAACCACAGAGAGCGCATTGTCACTGCGTCCGTCATCCTGAGACAAAATTAACGAGTCCCATGTGCCTGTAATTTCACCAGCAACCTTATCCTTCAAAAGATATGGTGGATATAGGATAAACATTATAAACAGCGTGTAGACAAAGCTTTCAACTGACTACATTAAATTGAAATGAGGTGATCTGATTTTCCTGCATCCAAGTGTATAGGAACTGTACTACCATATGAAATTATTTTAAACTTTGTGAATATGCAACGTCGGGTGCTGGTAAGCAATATCGCATGCTATTGTACAACGTCGAGTGCTGTTGAGCAATATCGCGTGCTGTTGTGCAACGTCGCGAGCTGTTGTGCAACGTCGCGAGCTGTTGTGCAACGTCGCGAGCTGTTGTGCAACGTTGGGAGCTGTTGTGCAACGTCACGTGCTGTTGTCCAATATCGCGTGCTGTTGTCCAATATCGCGTGCTATTGTACAACTTCAACGGTGGTAAATGAGATAATAATCGGTATAACTTGATCGGGTATCTGTGTTCAAACATTGACTGTTTAGACATGCAATAATAAAATATACGCAACAATATTCAAAATGTGTTCAAATACTAGAAAGATTG